TATATCAATGGTGCTCAATAATATAGGGTAGGTTTTGTCGGGAAAAAAAAATCCAAATTTCATAATGATTCAGACGAACTCTTTTTGACCCGCTGGAATTTAAAGGATTTATATTGTTCTAATTGTAAAAGTTCTAGTTCACGCCACCTACAACGCAGAAAATGGAGACAATTAAAATTTGCTTACGAAAAATGCAACATCATTATTCACCGTTGAAGAAACTGGAGAATTTACTGCGAGTGATATTTTTGGCAATTGGTAGGCACAATCCGAGTGATATGGAAAATTACGACCCGATTAGCATCGAAAGCAATAAAATTAAATCTTTGCCTCCTGCTGATGGTTAGTATTAATAAAAGTGCTTGCATGTATTCATAGGCTAACATTCTCTCTTCAAGAATGGTTACAGTAGAACTAGTACAATTATGCAACGTCTTATTACGAAAGCAGTATATTTACTGATATGAATATTTGTTAGCTTTCGTCAGAACTGACATCGATAAGAATTATTTAAACTGTAGAATGAATTGACTTTAGAACTGGTGCGATGGTTAGTATACTTATTAGCACGTACATCAACGGTTGGATGTGAAGTTGAAGCGTGGTACATGTGGGAACTGCTCCCAAAACAGTTGCTCACTACTGGTGATTCCAGTTACTACCTCATTACTCTTTTTTCCGCTATTGATGTACTGAAAAATACCGAAAGCATTCGAAAGTTGGGCCAGGTGGATGACTCTTCAATAACGGTACTTTAATTTTTCTTTGTTTGAATTTGATTTTCAAAACTTCAAGAAGATTGGATATTCAAGAAATAATTGTTTTTCTTTTGTTTGTAGGAAGATGGGTCGTACTGTTCTTCATTAGGTAGTGTTAGTCCAGTACTTTCATCATCATCAGATGCTTTTGTGAAGGTAGCCGTACCGGATGAACTGGATGGTTCTATCCGATACCACACATTTCCTGGTGTTCCCCAAATGACTGCTGGAAAGTTATGTCGCGTTATTGCACATCAGTTTGGCATTACAAATCCTGAAGATCATGGATTGTATGTCCTTTTTATTTTCTTTGATTATGTCGTAATTTAGTAATTAAAATTAATAACTGCTGAAGAAATCATTTTTTATTTGCGATTATCTGCGCTTTAAATTACATTTAAGAGGATATATTTCCTGTCGAACTTGTAATTGAGGTACATCGCTCTTCATACTTGATCGTAACTTTTCAGTTCTTAGTTTTTTTAAGATGTTTTATTTCAGGTATCTTCTAGTGGACGGTTACGAAACATGTCTTTTGGCAAACGAATGCCCTGATTTAATTCGTCATCAATTGAAGCAGGCACATAAAGCGCATCTGTTTGCTTATAAACGACATGAAGCGAAAATAGCTTGGCCTAAATTTGCAGTATCCTCTCTTTCTTGATGTGATCTGGGTAGTGCTGTTCCATAACGGCAGAAAGTGCATTTAGTGTAAAGGCACTATTTTTCGACTTATTAAGTAACATTCGAAGGAACAAGAGTGTAGCTTTCGGTTCAGGAAAAAAATAACTAAATTTCTCGGAAATTATATCAATTGAGACTTTTCACAAGGATGAAAGCGTTTGATGCTACTTATTACTTCGTCATAAATTTCGCTAAACATTCCATTAATTTCTAATTAGGTCCAATTAGATTGTAACAGCATAGATTTCATCTGTTTTTGCTCAAAATGCATTTTACAATTGTTGTGGAGTTATCGTTTTAAAATACAAATAGTAACTTTTAGATAAGTTTAAAAATGATTTTTCGGTTGATGGAAGAGGAAATTTTGACAGGATTTTGATTAGAGATTACTAAGTTTACAGTGCGAGATTAGATCGCTTAAAAAGATTGGTCTCGAATTCATTGAACTCAGGTGGGTATGAGGATCATATAGAAAGCAGAATTAAAGTTGCGAATTGTAAGATCATTCATTTGCGTAAAAGAAGAATCTTAATTAATAGGATTATTTAAATCAAAATTTCGCTGGCAGAGTTGTAATACCTTTCTAATATTTGAAACGAGAATTCTTCATGTCATTTCCATTTTTTTCCTTTTCTGTTTTAAAAATTGTTTCGTTTATTATATTTTCTGTATATTTGGACAGTGATTATTGTGTGAACTTTATGAACACTTTATTTAAAAGAGACAGCATTCCTCAATTAATTTTAAATATATTGTTGGATATTTATTTCAAAATAATAGAAAAAATTTCAACCGCTTACGTAATGGTATTAAAATTATGACTGCAAATGGTAATATCTGAATTCTGCGCTCTGGAATTTGGTTCCGAATTTATTTTCGGCTTATAGCTAGTTTAGATTTCAAACTGTTAAATTTACTAGTTGTTAAACTGTTTTAAATTTGGGAAAAAATATTCCTGCTAGGTTTTCAAAGATAACGAATTTTTGTTTAAAAAATTGTATTATTTTAAATGAATGTTGCGACAGAATTTTGCCGTATATCTAATACTTATGAGATAAGCCGTTTTAACTTTATTATGTATTTTAATGTATGCAAGAAAGAATCTCATTTTTATTATCCCATTGTGCACTATTTTTTTGAAAATTTTATCGTTTATTGTACCTGTGTTGTTTATATATTAGCTTTAGAAGAAAGGAGAAATTCTCTGGTGAATAAAAAATAAAATTATTTTTCTAATGGCTTATTGCACTCTGCTGTTCTAAAATATATCCAAATGTTCAGACATTGTAAATTACTGTAACAACAAAGTGTAACTTTTGGAATATTACTTCGAAAAGCAGGACAGAGATAAATTGATTTTTTCCAAAATATGTAAATATTTGATTAAAAGCTATATAATATCATACATTGAGTTAATTATCCTTCATGTGGGACAAGAAGATCAGACATTGATCTTAATAATATTACAGTATAACTGTGGAAAAGGAAATTAAATCTTTCAGGACCATATGAAATTAAATAGTGATTATCTTGAAAAAAATATAGAGTGAGAGAGTTCGAATTTTAAAAGTAATAAAGGAAATTTCTCAAATCCTGGCTTTCAAGTGACTGTCGACGTAAATCAATATTACAAAGTAGTGTAACCTATACTATAATTTATTATCCAGGAAAACGCTATAACATTCGCGTCGAACTTATCCCTTTGATAGAGCCAGTTAAATGTAACAAGTGAGAAGTAAACCACTATGTATCTCTCGTGAATGTGTAAAACCCGTTACGTCCGAAACGGATGGAGGAGGGAAGACCCTCAACTTCACGTTCCCTGAGAAGTATACCCACTGAGCACACGTTACGTAGAATAGTGAAGAGATAAGCGAAACGAAAATCTCACGTCTCACACATAAGTTTTTAGTGCTGATGTTGTGACGCAGTTTGCTGTTGCACGAATGGAAGGCTAAAATGTTGATTGTTTTGCTTTATTTTCCATTTTTAAGGGTTTGATGATTGCATCACGACAATTAATTCGTTTAACTGTGCTCAGAAAAAATTTCAGTCGATTGTATTCAACTAACGTCGTTGCACCTACATCGAATATTACCAAAGAGGTAATATTTCATTGCTTTGAAGAAGCCCAAATTCAGGCATTTTATACATTTACTTGAAATGTTAATTCCATTGAAATCTGTACATATCATATTTAGATTGGAATTCAAAATTTTCAAACAATTCTAAGAAAATGGGTTAAATTCGCTATAATTGTTGCAGTTGTGATAGTCTAATTTTTGTCAACTTCAGTTGTTCATGTTTGTCTAGTCTTTATGAAACAGAAGCTTCTCAGTTGGAAGCTCATATCAATGCTCACTGCTATTATAAGCCATTAGTTTCAGTGCATCCGTAGTATAATGATCGAGTTAGTTCCTAGTAATTCTCGATTAATTTTTTCAGTATTTGTGCATGACTGTTTATCTTATGTTTCTTTTAGGCATTAAAAGAATTACGAGAAAAGACCGGATATAGTTATTTGAATTGCCGTAAGGCACTCAATGAATTCGGATCAGATAATCTGGATGAAGCTATCAAATGGTTGAAAAAGAAGGCTATAGAAGAGGGTTGGGAAAAAGCTGCAAAGTAATTGTTAGTAATCTCTAGTGTTTTTAAGAAATATAGTTTTTATATTTTGAAATTTCAGAAATATAAATTGTTTTCCAGACTTGGTAATAGACCAACAAGACAGGGTGTTGTATCAGTGATGACAAAAGGCAATAAAGCAGCTGTCGTTGAATTGAATTGTGAGACGGATTTCGTTTCTAGAAGTGAGAATTTTAAACGATTGGTAAGTTTTTGAGTTTGTGATAGTTTATAGTCTGTGATATATGAAGAAGTATAATTAATTTTAGAGAATCACTTTACTAAAACTGTTATGAAAATTCAAAGTTCCAAATGAGTTGCAAATTGAGCGGTCGCCATAATGAACTTCATTTTTAGCTTGTCATTTTTGCTGTTGTTTCGTTTTAGGTTTGCTGAATTATTGATATTTTTGTTGGTTTGAATTATTTTCAAAAAACAGCTTTAGGTTGAAGATGTGGTTAAAGCGGTTTTGCATGCTGCTGATCGAGATGGAAGGATTAGTGATGGCTTTGAGTTAGTGAATTCAAGTGAGTAATAGTTCTTAAATACGAACATAAGCATTATGTTTCTGTCATTTCGCTCTTTATGTTTTTGCTCTTTCTATTTTAGAAGGAAATTAAATTTTTAAGGAGATTGAAAAGTGCTCATAAGAACAAGATTTGTTTCAAATTGCTGTTCATTACTTTAGTTTCTTTCGGAGTTTCCAGATTTCACTCTATACTTGTTCTAATTATTTGAAATTAGAACAAATATAGAGCTTTGTTAAATTTAAAAATTAGGCTAAAACTTTGTTGAATTTCATATACATTGTTTTATCGGCATTTTTAACTTCATAAGAATCCTGCTGATTTTTTTATAAACAGGTATTGCAGGTATTAATTCTCTCAAAACATCGGAAAATGGCAAGCTAGTGAAAGACTTGATTACGGAAGCAATCGGTAAACTTGGCGAAAATATAACTCTTTCAAGAGCACAACTAATACTAGCACCATCTGATATTCAACTTTTTGGCTATGCACATCCCAAAGGTTGGATCTGGCATAGTGTGGACTTTATTTATTGTTCGAAATCATGTCTTTTTTTAAAAAAAACAGGACAAATTAATTAGTGAATTTTTTGTTAAGAAGGTACTGAAGCGGTGTGTATGGGAAGATATATATCGGTTGTTGGTCTGAAGAGGTTGAACAAAACTAATTTTCCAACAGAAAAACTGGGACAACAGTTGTGTCAACATATTGTGGGAATGAGGTAAATTATTTTATCGATCATCACGCAATAGGTAACAAAAAATTTATATGAATATGAATAAAATAAATTTTATTTCATATTTGGAGGTTGAAATTTGAACTCCGGTAGTTTAGATTAAAGTTTTTACAAGTTTATTATTTTAGTGTGTTTTTCGGCATTAAATTACATGACCATTAATACTGTTTTTATATAAAGTTTTACATTCATAAATATATTTTAGGGCTTTAACACTGGGCACACCGTTGCTTGAAAAGGAAACAGCGTCTGTAAGTAAAGAGGTCCCACAGGAAGACGAAAGCAATGCCTTTTACGATGGAGAGGTTTGTTGCAGCTTGACTTGACTTTTCAACTGTCGTGTTTATTTGGAGAAAAAGGGTGGTGAAATTAAGTTCCAAATAAGGAGATTTAAAAACCGCTAATTTGATAACATGCTTTTTAAAATCTTTTAATATCATTTATTTGTTCTTACTGAATTTGGTGGTTGTGCTGACTTATTGATATAACGTGGGGTAATAGATGTATATTATTAAAATGTAAACTATTGGTTGGATTCATTCCTCCAATTTTAAGTTGTGGAAATACAAAATATGAATCACTATCAATGCTGAAATTGATGGTGATTGCAAAAAAATGAGTAAGAAATACCAAAAATCGGTATTTTTTGCATGAAGTTTTTATAAAACTGCTTATTTATCGGTGTTTTACAATGGTTTGCTTGATAGTTTGGAACTTTTTAGTATTTTATCATTCCAGGTCACGCATATTGATGAAAATGAAACTCAGCTATTAAGACAGGCATTTATGTTGAATCCTTCGCAGACAGTTCATGAGTATGTTGCTGGACATGGAGCCAGTATCGTTGATTTTTATCGCATTGAGCTGAGTAAAGATGTGAACGAAAAGTCTCTCCAGAGCTAATCTTTTTCCTACTTTCCGATTTTTTAGTTTGCAAGACCTCTTATGTCTTATGTCCACAAAATTCTTTCGTTTCACTCACATCTCAGCGTTATAAATTAGCCTACGATCTAATCTTTAATGTAACTGAACACTCCAATCATCCATAATATGAATGATGTATCTTTTGAAATAAAAAGACTTACTGCATATGTTGTATACTTTTATTTTGTTTTGCATACAAATAGTTTTTTCTTTGATATATATTATGAATTTGAAGTTTTCTCTTATTGTTTCTTGCTTTTTTTTTTTTGATTTTTTGTTCATTTCTTATCATCACTTAGGCCATTATGTATTATCTGGCACAATACAACATTAAAAAAATTAAGATAAGCATCTTTTTTGCAGCTGCACAATAATACTTTTTTTCTGAACTCATTTAAGCATTGCAGCGACTTTTTTGATTCATCAAGTATATAGAATTCTTCATTTTATTCGAAAATTTCTGCATTAAATGTTGAGTATATTTGTACATTGTGTCGTTTGTATGAACAGCTAGATTTATGGTATCAGGGAAGTGCGAAATTAATGAAAATAGTTGGTCTTTTTTTTTTCAACGACTTAAGTTAGTCGTAGACATTAGAGTGAGATTATTTTTCAACGACTTATGGGGCCTTAAATTTAATTTTCTCGACATCTATTTAAGAAGGAGAACAAAACTGGTTTTAAGAAAAGAAAAAAATTTAAATCTTGGATACACTAAGCTCATTTGGAGAGCTTTAGTACTTCACTATTTCAGCTTCCAAGTAGTTCAATAATCTAATTTTTTGAGGTGTTTGACAAAAGAAACAAAACCAAAAGATTTTAGACGCAAGAATTGAGCTATTTTTTAATCCCTAAGTGCTTCAGTTATCTAATTTTTTCAAAATTCTCAAAGTGATATATTTGCAATGGAACTGTTGTTGTTGAAATCTTTTATTTGAAGGAAAGAATGCATTTTTATTTGAAGAAAAAAAATGCATTTTTTCATTACACATCGGAGTGATAGTAACAAGTATGTTCTGTTCTGTTTAACTCTGATGAATGTTTCTTTCCATTTTCACCATTTTTCAATCTATAAGAACATGCGAATGCATTTCCTATTTATGATTTAAATTTCACTTGAAGTTGTGACTGTCATCGTTATTCTTAAGTAAATATTATTTAGGATTGTAGTTGTTATTGGCATTAGGAAAAAATGTTATTCAATTGATTGGAATGACCGGTGAAGCGCTTTTTCTTATTTCTGTTCTGTTTAATTTATTGCTTCGTTAATGAGATAGTTTGTTTTCGAGCTCGCTGAATTACACGTGTGTTGGCGCATAATGTAGTCTAAATTTAATTATTTGTTTTAAAGCTTTGGTCAGTGATAGCTGTTGTTTTCCTTCGTTATTACTTTTTTTTTTTGCTAATACAATCAGTGTAAAAAACGAAGTCTGAAAGTTGCATTCAAATCAATCCAATTTAAGAAGAGAAAAATTGAAAATCATTTAAAAGTCATTGAATTGATGGACAATTCATTTTGAAAATAATCATGGTTGGAACGATTTCCCAGTATTCCTATAAGTATAAAGCGGGTAAGCTAAATGAGATTTTTTGATTACCGGTTTTATGAACAACGAAAACCATAATTAGTAATTTTTTCGACTGCAATCGTGCAGTCACTGAGAGGAATGAAATTATGTTGAAAAAAATGCGTAAAATTAATCTTTGGAAGACTGATTGTGCTAACTGCTAAATTTGTTTAATACTTCATTTGCACTATCGAGAAGTAATATTAACTAATACAATAAAAATTGAGTGAAATATACAAGAATGACAGTTACACCAAATGTGATTTATATCCTTCATGCTTGGCGTCAATAAAACTCATAAAATGTTATGCATAATGCCTTTTAAACATCATTTCTTTACGTACTACCATCCATTACTCCCTAAGTTCGTTGTGTCCATTATAAATTGTAATTTAGACAATTG